ATTATTATTATTATTATTATTATTATTATTTCTAACTGTGACCGATCCCTGGTACCGATCCTAACCAGTTTCAGTCCTCAAAGACCAATCCGGTAAGTTTCTTCCAGAATAAGGAGTGTTTGCCATAAACCACCATTAAAACGACAAATCTCTGCCCTTAGGTTTCTCTCCTCTAGTGGTTAAAAACTGCCTGGTGCAGTTTTTTAATTTGCCAGCATTGCGAGGATATTTGGTTTCAGCAACTCAAGACTAGTTTCATTACAAGGTGTCACATGTATTTGTCAAACCTAACAAAGAGAACAAACCAAATAGCCCTTAAAGCACTTGTTCTGGTGGAGAATGTCACTGCAGCTTTAAACTTGGGCTGCATTCAGGAAGAAAGGGAGAGTGTCATGTAAAGTCACAGCAGACTTGTTTCTCCCGTTTTCGCCATATCACAGCAGCTCTTCAGCGTCCTCAGTCATCCATGTAAAAACATGGATGAGCAGATTTAATCTGATGTTTTCAAGTACTGTTTCCTTGTTCTTGCTCAAACAGCAGCATTGCAAGCTGGGATTGAGAACCAATGCCTTCCATATTGCTTTGAATACACCTATGGTAGACGTCTTCACTGAGTTTTGGGTTGCAGGATTGGTAGCGGTATTGTTGGTGTAGAGCTGGCTCTACTGCCCTGAACACGTGTAGGCCTGAATACTTTACAAACATGTCATAGATATCCAGGTTTTCTAGTAGATCCTCGTTTTCTTGAATGTCAGTTACCATTCTAGACCTCGTTGCCATGTAGTCCGAGTTGTAAAAGCACGCTTCATCGAATGATCTCCGGTCAAAATGTCCTGCATCCTTTACCAGATCCACGGTGGCCGGATGTGGCTGGTTGTGGTAGGCCACATCAGGGTTGTACTCCTGGAAATGTATAGGGAAGAACACCTGCCAGTTGTTTATTGAATTCATGCGGCAGCGGTTCAGAAACTCAGCGTTGATGTTTGTGTTGACGTGAGCCAGGAAGAACAACGTGTCAACTGGGTGTTTCTTCGAGATGATGTCCATAAACTTGATCTGAGACGGTACCTCCGTTTTGACGCTTATCCATGGGATTTTCACTGCTGGGTATTTCCGTTCGTAAACGTTTATCTGATTCTTCACACCAGCAAAAATATCATCATGATTAACATGCTGCGCCTCTTCTGGGTCATAAATGAACAATAGCGTTAGGACGGCGTTCTCACTGGTCTCAAAGCCATTGGAAGCAAAGACTTCGAGGAAATGGTTAACATAGCTCCGATCTTCTGCAGTAAGGGGTATAATGATGTGAACCCTGGTAGCTTCAGTGACATAGGGCATGGGGATAATCTCTATGAGGCTTAAAGGTCGCACCAGGTGGACCCTTTTGGTGATGGACCGGCTGTGACCTTTCTGATTGACAACTTCAACCTGAAGGTCCAAGGTGTACTCCATGCCTCTGGTGGGGTCAAAGCGTCTGTAGCCATTAATGAGATGCTGCTTCTTAAGATGTAAAGTAGGCATGTACTTTTTGTTGAGCTCTTCTATGGCCGTGTCTATGACATCCGCTATGTCCATTTTGTCAATGCCACGCAGCTCACACTTTGGAGCGCCATCGATGCATGAATAAATCTCCTCTTCTGTGAAGTATTCCCACTTCAGGACTTCAAATCGAGATTTAGGCTCAAAAGGTGGGTTGACCCCCACCGGCCACTGAGCGCTTCGATTGCCTTCAAAAGCAAGCACGCTAACATTTTTTATTTCTGCCTGCGGAAACATAAAAAAGTGTTTACGTGTTCGCACAAGCATTACTACATTAAAGTGTATGAAGCCAGGATTTTATATCCGACTCATCCACAGGTGATTCGTGACTCTTGGCAATCTGCTTACCTGCAGCTTAGCGATCTCGTCGTAAGTCTTCTGAAGTTCAATCTCAGAGAAATACCTGTGCAGCCGGTACATTTGTTCAGGGTCGGACACCGGATGAACGGTTAGAGCTTTCTTGAACTGTTCGTTCTGTTCTTTACTCGGATCGGAGTTTTTTCCAAGCTCATAATGGTGGTACTCAAGACCCTGATAGAAAAAAAAAGAAAAAAACAGAGAGGTCTTTTCATAAGATGTGATGCCATGGGAGAAACATGCCAGATGTTATTTCAAGCTAAGTTGTTCTCTGCAGTGTTACTTCCTCTCAAACACATATCACATATAGACAGGATTCCAGGCTCATCTTCACTGCAAACAAAAACATTTACTCTGTAAAATAATGATTCAAGAATAAAAAATAATGGTTCTACACATGCATAGTTTGACAAGATTGTTTTTTTTATTATTATTCATTGGAAATCAAGAGGAAAACTATGTGATGTGACTTAAATTTGTGATAGAATCTCACTTTCAACCATTTAGGAGTCACCACCTGTAAAGCTTGAGTGATTAAAAAAGTGAACCCAATCTGATGAAGCTATTAAAAGAACAAAGAATGGAGACACTGCTTAACCAAGCAGCAGGGCCACTCTATTACAAATGTTTGCCAACAGCTTGCAGCCTGTGGCTGTACACTTAGTGAAGCATTGTCCGTGCCTAATTGGCATCAATGTTCTCTTTGAAAAGAGAAAATGTCTGGCTCTATGTACAAGCTGTTTTTTTTTTCACCATTCCAGGCCTGTTAACTTCTCACTCCCTCTCTCCATTATCTGAGGGGCTCTACTGGAACTCCTCTGGCTCAGGGCACTTCAGATAGCTGAGCAACTCACTCTCAATTGTGCAACAAGATAGCTTACTGATCTGGGTTCAAGCCGGGGGGGGTGGAAATATGAGTTAACAAATGAGTCAAAAACAAAAATTAGGCCTGTACGTAACCTAACCTAAACTAACCTCCTTTTGCTAAAGATCGCTGTAAGAAAGTAAATAATAGAAATGGAATTCCCACACATTGTAATCCTTTTTTGGGTCCCAATAATGAATTAATGGGATTTTTTTTAACAAAGCACCTGTGCAATTTGTTAGTGCTCAGGATGCTCTGGGTGTGTGTTGTGGATCATTCTCAGTTACAACCACACTATGTTTAAGGTCAATATCTGTAAAATTAAGTAAGTTGTGGCCATCTGTGCTTCCTGAGATCAGTTGGCAGCCATGTTGAATCATGCTAACCCCAAAAGTTGTGAAGTTGTAGCTGTACATGTTGCCTTCAATTGTTTCRAAAATGTCAAAAATAAATGTGATTTTGCATCATAGCCTATCTAAACACCTTGAAACTGGCCTCTCTCTCTCTCTTTAAGAACCTCCTACCATTTCAGACACTCCCACTTCAGCATGTCTTCACAACAATGCTTTAGCAGAGGGGTGCTCTGTGGGACAGGAACTTGACTGCAGGCTGAGGTCCAGGAAGGAGCATGGTACTGTGGTGGAACTGATACTTTTATGTTTAAGCAAATAATTCATGACATCCTTTAATGACTTAGGTTTTCATGACATGCTGTTCATCTGCAGACAGAATGATTAAAGTCAGAAAAAGATTTGCTAACAGTCATTCTTAGATATCACTTGTGTTTATCTTTGTGTTTTCCATTGACCTTGTATCAAATCTTGCTAAGATGACATTATGGTGTTTGTTAATATATATCTGAGGCCTCTCGAGAMACAGTGTTCAACAGTAGGGTGGAGAGAGAGTGATAGAGAGAAGCAGAGGCACAGACACAGGCCAGGATGTTCTCTCTGTCACTGTCTCTCCACACTACTGTTGAACACTGTTTCTCGAGAGGCCTCATATATATACAGTGGTTTGCAAAAGTATTCATACCCCTTGAACTTTTCCATATTTTGTCACATTACAACCACAAACATAAATATATTTCACTGGAATTTAATGTGAAAGACCAACACAAAGTGGTATACAATTGAAGAAATTTATAGTTAGTACTGATTAAATACAACAC